GGTCAGACTCAAGACCTGACTTCCAAGTTCCAGCCCCCTCCACCCGAGGAGCCTTCCCATCTCTTCCTCCTCTGGTGCCATCTTAGGAATTTAGTGCCACCTTAGATTGTACCATACCGCCTTCCTTGACCACAGCTCTTAAGAGAGCACTAGGGCATCCCTCTTTGTGCCTAGGCCAGGGCCTGCCACCATCGAGGTGTTGTATAAATATCCATTGACTAAATATTGGCTGTCTGTCAGGAAAAATAACCCTAGAGAAAGCCTCAGACTGACTCCAACCATCTTCCAAAGGATCTGTGTGTGTTACCCTCAGCCTGCTTGGATGCCCTGATCAACAACAACGACAACAAATTTTCAGACCAAATGGGAAAATAAAGAGACTGCTTGAAATTTTGCAAATGGCCAGAGGAATCTCTTCGGTCCCTGCTGAGGCCCAGCTCTAGAAAAAAGGCTGCTTCCTTAGCTGCAAAGCAGCTCATGGGCCTTCCTGGGGGAGTGCCTAAGTCTGCCCCTGAGCCAAGCTGGTTAGCAGAGCCAGGACTTGGAATGTCCACCCAGAGAGATGACAGCTGAGCCCCAGAGGGGATAAGCAGGCAGGGACGAGAGGCAGCCACTCAGGACTAGGTCTGGGGRTGGCGTATTAGAAGAGGAAGGATTCCGAGTGCAGATTCAAATCTGGGACATCCCAGGCTCAGAAACAACTTCCAACTCTCGGACCTTCCACATGAACGCGCTGAGCCCTCGCCGTCCTGCTCCCAGATGGCTACGCAGCCAGCCCAGAACTCTGTGTGTTTTGGCTTTTGCCTTTATCTGGGTCCTGGTTGGTGACACTTCCCTCCTGCAGCCCTTTCCTTCTTGCCAGTTAGTCATGCCTGCCTGGCTTCCCAGTCGGAGAATCTGGTCACCAGATCTCCTAAGGGTTGAAAATCCGAGGGAGACATTCCAACCAGCCTTGAATCCCATCACTCTTGTAGCGTTGAGCACCCTCAAGCCAAGATACCATTTTCCTTAATGATACAAAATGTTCTTGGCTTATGGATTGTGATTCTTGGGTCACTGTTTCCTGTTTGCAAACGTGTCACAAGTGACCCAGTTTTGTGTCTAGGGGCGTGGGGACTCGAACCTGAGGTCAAACTTTGCTCTAGAAGGAACAGGGTCTAGTTATCTCCAAAGTGGAACCCAAAACAACAAAATCAAGAAGGAAACTTCTAGCTGGGGGCAGTGGCACATGCCTGTAATCCCAGCGGCTCCAGAGGCTGAGGCAGAAGGATTGTGAGTTCAAAGCCAGCCTCAGCAACAGTGAGGTGCTAAGCAACTCAGTGAGACCCTTCTCCAAACAAAATACAAAATAGGGCTGGGGATGGGGCTCAGTGGCGAGTGCCCCCTGAGTTTAATTCCGGGTACCCATCCCCCCTGCAAAAAAAAGAAGCAAACCTTGAGACATGGGGACCCAGGGCTCTGCCTAACCTGCAGGACCTGTGGGAATAGGGCTCACTCTACTGTGGACACAGGGCAGTAGAGTGAGCCCTGTTTTTTTAAAGTGGGTCTGAAATTTAGCAAAAGTGAGCCAGAGGGAGAGGGTGTCCTTCTGCTTCCTCACTGCAGACTCTCTCATACTTGATGAGAAGAAACCCAGGAATGGTAAAGGCAAGAGACCAAGAACCCTGCCTAGAAATGTTCACCAAACACTCAACTGGGTTGGATCGAGTTTCTCGGCCTGTTACCAGCTTACAGAAAAATAAGGGGWGCAGAAATAGATTAGATCATTTACAGACCATCTCAAGAGCACCCTTAGCCAAACCCTACTGTAGGAAATTCTCCAGACAACAACCGGAGTCCTCAACAAGGACGGTGGCAGGGGAGCAGGCAGAGGGGACAATATCCAGAGACTTGGCAACAAGGACCCCGGTGGATTTGGGGTCTGATTTGATCAAGTCAAAAGAATAAAGACATCAGTGAGACAACCAGGGAAATCTGCCCACCACCCCRATGTTTAAGGATGAAAAGGGGTGACTGCCGGCTTGCCTAGGAGTGGTAATGGTATTGTGGATTTTGAGGGAGTCTTTAAGATATTTTTGTAAAGAATCTTTTATCCTGTAGAGATAATTCTGGAATAGTTAAGGATGGAATGATACGGTGTCTGGTATCTGCTTTAAATTGAAGCACTAAGTGGAAGGTAAAGAAGAAAGGAAATTGTGCTTACGTGGATCACCACTGAACTTGGGTGGTAAATAGGTAAATGTTCATTAGACTCTCACTACTTTTGTCCAGTCTTAACAGAACAAAAATTTTCATGAAAAAAAAAAAAGCAAAAATCTTGCTGTTAATTCTGGCTTCAGTACTGGCTCTGTGAGTGCCCTTGAATGAGATTTTACTCCACTGAGCCTCCGTTTTCTCACCCAGAGCCTGACCAGGTTCAGATCCAGGCTCAGCCCCTTACTCACTGGGTGACCTTATGTAGGTTTCTTAACTTCTGTGTGCTTTGATTTCCTAGTCTCCAAGGGCATGGTGTGAGAGAGAGTCCTCGGTGGTTCTGAGGACAAAGTGCATTGGTTCTGAGGATCCTGGACACGAAGACTGTGCATGTATGTGTCTGGGTCTTACTGGGGCTGCTATTGCTGTTGCTGTTTATTATTTTGGTCAAGATAAAGAGAAGATTCCTCTGGAGATGCCCTCCTCTCCGAAAGCAAACAAGGCTCCAGAAATGTTTCCTGGTTCTCCCAAGTTCCCCGTTGCTGGTCCAATGCTTCTTCCACAGTTTCTCTCTCTGGACAGTGACAATTCTGGACAACCCTCATTGTCTTTCCCCCACAATCTCCTTTCATCTTCCAGCCTGTTCCCAGGCCTCCTCTCTCCCATCCAGTCCTGGAAGGAAGAGCCGATAGAGAAAACTTTCCTTCCCACCCTTCTCAGGCTCTTGGCCCCCTGACACCACCTCTTACAATGCTCAGAGGGACCTCAGTGGGCCGGTTTGAAAGCCCTCTGTAAACCAGGAAACCGTGGGGTGGAGTGCAGGGAAGTCAGAAAGAACTCGGGACTGATGAATACATAATGCTGAACTTTCTGGAAATGGATGGGCCTGGTGCCAGTCCTCACTAGGGTTCCTAGATTGTATTCTTCTTACAAAAGGGCCATTATGAAGGCTCTGCATCTCCCGTGTGACAGGTTCCGAGCCACCAATGGTATGACGTCACAGGGACCAGGAGATGAATAGGTGGCCCAGCCACGTGCTCATTGTCTGGGACCTTGGAACCCTGGGAGGAGGTGTGTGGGAGGCAGGCGGACATTCCTGAGAACCCCAGGACAGAAAACAGGTTGGTGGGATGGCCCAACACATAAACCAGAACTGCCTGCCCCACGACCACCCCCAAAGCTAGAGTGTCCAGAAAGTGTCAGCCCCGGCTTCCTCTCCTCCACCTGCACACATGCAGGGGCTGGTGACTCTGCAGATGTGGCCCCAGTGACGTCCTTCTGGAAGAGCAGCATCCCCTCCCCCACTGTCTCTCTCTGCTTGTCTTTGGGACCATTTCTTTTCCACCGATGGGAAAGGTCCTATCATCTAGTCAGGAAGCTGCAGACTGGTGGTCAGAGCAGCTGGACTCACGTTCTAACTTGCTGGAGTCCATGTTCGTCTTCCCATAAAACTGAGAGACTGGAATTAAAGGTTGTTGAAAAGTCCCTTCCGGTTAGGATGGTCTCTTGCTCTGTTGCATGTTGGAACTAAGTATGGAGCCACCTTCTCCACCAAGGCTGAAGAGTGCCAGCTGACCATGTCCCCACACTCCTGCCCTTCACACACTCGACTCCTCAAGGTCAAGCTCACCTCCCTCTCCCCTCCACCTGCACCTCTGCCCTCTCTCTCACACACCATGCCCTTGGAGACCAGTAAGAATGCAGAAGTTAGGGTTCAGGTACATTTAATTTTCCCTTGGAGCTCTGAAGGGTGCTTGTTTGCACAATACTTACATGTATTCAAATGGCCACGCACGGTCATTCACATGGGCACACTGAGGACATTATAAATTCATCAACACAGTCTAATGATTGGGCTCAGCCCAACCCTCCAGAGCCCTGAAACCAACACAGATCTCATGAAAGAGACTAATGATTTCCCACAGTTTGAGGGCATAGGGAGGAACTATTAGAAGTTCAACTCACATTTATTTTTATCACATTCTTTTATGTGTTCTATGTCTTGCATGTGCTTTCCAGTTCTCAAACCATACGGTATAACAAGTATGTCTGTCATTTATAAATGTGCCTATAACAGGGGTCCAGGGTCAAAAAGAGGTGGCAGATGAGCGCATGATCCAACAAGCTGGAGCCTTCACTATAGTCCACCTCCCAAAGCCCGAGGAAGTTACAAGGTTTTAGACTGACCACAGCCAAGGGGACCAGGAAGCATCCCAGGTAACTCCTCCAAGGCCGCACTGACCAACACACCTGAGACTCTGTGGGGCACTGGTCACACCCTGGCCAACTCCCCTGGGGCTCCTGGCATACGTGTCCACTTCCGCCCAGAGTTCCCATTAGTGAGGCTTCCTCAGGCCACAGGAACCTTGGTGCCACCCAAGGAACCCACTTTCTTCCCAGAACAGGTGCTGTGTTATCCCTCAGGACTTCTATTGTAGGAGTCCATCAGAGTTCTGGCCCTTTCTAGAACTCTCTGGGATTCACTTACTAAGGTCGAACAAATATATTTGTTATTTAGTTGAGAAAATATGAGCTTGACCTTAAAATATATAGGAAATAGGAAGGAAGGGAGGAAGGAAGAAAGGAAAAAGAAAAAAGAAACCGGCTCTCTGGAAAACCGTGAAGCCAGCCAGGCTGAGCTTCCCAGGGAGAGGACCCAGAGACACAGGCTGCTGGAATAAGCCGGGTCTGTGGAACAGGCCACTGTTGTACCAGCACATTGCGTGGTGGCCAATGCCCCCGGGATGGACTCACTGCAGGCAGACGGTGCCTTCAGGAAAGCGCGACGGAGAGACGCGACCACTCACCCACACACTGGTTGCCTTCGTCCATCTGGTATCCAAAGCGGCACACGAGAGGCCTCGAAATCGTGGGGTAGTTTGAAGCTGATACCGGTGGGGCAGCCGCTGGGTATGGACCCGAGTAGGGGGTCGAATAGGGATTCGAGTAGGGCCCTCGGTACACCGGGTTTGTTCGGGGGATACATAAATACCCGCCATTCTGGTTGACACACATCATGTCGCCTCGGCAGGCCTCGGGGATGGTCCGGCATTCATCAATATCTGCAAAGGCCACAGAAAGGCCAAGCATTAGTAACCCCCCTCCACAGTGGAATTTTTGTTTGATGTTTTGCATTGCTGGGGATTGAATTCWGGGCCTCCTACATGCTAAGCAAACGCTCTACCTCTGAGCTACATCCTCAGTCCTCACAGTGCGTATTTAAGCACAGCTTTGTACCAAGCTTGATGCAAAAAAAAACCCAGACATATCTCCCCAGCTCTCTTTGCAGGCACGTGCTCCCAATTGCTGGCTGGATTGAATCAGATCATGATTTCAACCATATCCACAAAAACCTATACTAGCACTGTCTCCAGACTTTCCTTTAAATGAACCCCCATTTGAAACTCAAATTTCTTTTTAAAATTCTACATGCTTACAGAAATAAAAAAAAAAAAAMCTCTCTCAATTAACACAAACAGAAGGTAACAGTAAAGGACTGGGGTTGTGGCTCAGTGGTAGAGAGCTTGCCTAGCATGTGAGGCACTGGGTTCAATTCTTAGCACCACAAATAAAAAAATGAATAAAAATAAAGTCCATAAACATCTAAAAAATATTTTTAAAAAAGAAGAAGGTAACAGTAAAAGTAAAAATATAACCATTAGAATAGTGTTTATCTGTGGATGTAAAAACATGTTAGGTAATCTCGTCAGCAAACATTACACTCTGAAATCATGGGGATAAGCCAGTRAATTGTCCCCACTTCTATTCCACATAACAGACAAGCAGGAGAGAAAGAGGTTTGCATGAAGAAGGACCAGGCTTGACTCCAGGTGTAGTGGCGCACACCTATAATCCCAGGAACTCCRGAGGCTGAGGATGGAGGATCCTAAGCTCAAGGCCAGACTCAGCACATTAGTAACAAAAATAAAAAGAAAGACAAGTCTTGGCTGAGAGCTTGTGACAGGCCAAGAAAGCTGAGTCTTGTTTGTATGTATGTATGTATGTATGTATGTATTTATTTATTTATTTATTTATTTATTTATTTATTTATTTATCCATCCCAGGGATTGAACCCAGAGGTGCTTAACCACTGAGCCACATTCCCAGCCCTTTTTATTTTTTATTTAGAGACAGGGTTTTCTAAGTTGCTTAGGGCCTCACTAAGTTGCTAAGGCTGGCTTTGAACTTGTGACCCTCCTGCCCCAGCCTCCCAAGTTGCTGGGATTATAGGCATGAGTCACTGTACCCAAGCCCAGCCTTATGTTGAAGTCAGCTCCCACTGTGCAGTAAACAGGGCCCACTCCCAGCCAGGCTGGTGCTCAGCTTGCCATTCCTAGAAAGGGAGAGAGGGTTTTCTTAAATCAGCCTTACTATGGAGAGGCCAGGRAATACCTGGACTCTGCTTCCACAGGCTGGGCCCTGTCACCAGCTTTGGAATCTGCTCCACATGGGACCAGAGGCTGGATTCTGACAGCTTGCCCCACCATCCCACCTGAGAATCCTGTGCCAACTCTCACCTCAGGAGGGGGAATGCTGAGGCTCAGCATGCAACAGTTAAAACAGGGGGGCTCTAAAAGAGGGCTGCTGCTCCCTCTTTGTCCCTTGGAACACCRTTAAATCCAAGTGTGGCTCTTTAAATCCAAGTATAAGCCTAGATTTCCCAKGGCAGGTTTTATTCCTCCATCCTCAACCTCTTTCAAGCTGTGCACTGGTTAKCCAAYRTGAGCTCAGGGAAGACACACRATTTGGCCAAGTCAAATATAAGCCAAACACTGCACATGGTAGGGGAAAGGCAGGACAGGGGCTGCCTTATTCTTCTCATGCAGCCTGTTCTCCATTCACAGCACCCTGTTCTACACTGGGAATGTCCTTCCCACCCAGGCCCTGTCYTAAGCTGCTCCTTCCCCCTGGAATGCCATCTCGCAGATCCTATTCACCCATCAATACCCATTTCCMATGGGACTCCACCACTCTTTGTGAGCCACACACAGAGAATCACCCTCTCCTCTTCTTTCGCAGGGTCTGTTGTTTTTGTCTCCATAATCTGTCTCACTATTTTATTCCACTAACCTATCTCAATGTTCTCAGTGTCTGTCTAGACWGTCTAGACACTAGACGGTCTGCTAAAGAAGCATCCCCTGGAAGGGCCTCGTCCTAATCCTTGGAACCTGGGAATGTGCTAGGTTATGTGGCAAACGGGAATTAAAGYAGCAGATGGAATTAAGATCGCTAATCAGCTAACCTGCCGATGGGGAGCTTATCCTGGATTATGGGGGACCCAGTGGAATCACATGAATTCTTGAAAGTAGAAGAAAAGGCAGAGGAACTGATCAGAGAGATGCTACAACAGAAAAGGCAGCAGAATGAGAGGCAGTGGATGCCACGTGCTGACTTTGAGGATGCAGGAGGGAGCCACAAGCCAAGGAGTCAGGGCAGCTTCTAGAAGCCACAAAGGCCCTCAGCTAACAGCCAGCCAGGAAGCAATACCTCCATCCTACAACCACAAGAAAGTGAATCCTGCCAACAACCTCATGAGCAAGGAAATAGGGAATCCCTTGAGCCCTAGTTGTACCTGGTGGTACTTTGTAGCCCAGTAGACCAATGTTGGCCTTTTCCCAGGTGGAACGCTGAGATCATAAATTTTTGCAATCTTAGCAGCCACCGTGGTGATCCCTCAATACCGCTGCCCTGGGAAACCAAGATGGGTGGAAAGCTCTCAGAGGACAGAGCCCAGTTCTTTGAGCTCTCACAGTGCTCCACCGGGGCTGGACACCAAGAAAGCAATTAATAAAAGGGCGTCGTTGACCTCCATCATTTCCTGTCACTGTGTTCTTCCATGGCAAGGCAAACAAAGGTTTGACAATTGCCAACAACATCTGAGAAAGAAAACAGGCCTGMAATTGATCTGTTACAAAGGTTCCCACCCGGGTGAGGGGTCTGCAGTGACACCTACCTAAACACTGTCCTGTCTGGCGATCCAGGTCAAAGCCGTTGGTGCACTGCTGCTGCTGCAGGAAAGAAGAAACAGACAAAGTCATTTCATTCCTTTTTTCTTTAGTTATTGATGAACTTTTATTTATTTATTTGTTTGTTTATCTGCGGTGCTGAGAATCGAACCCAGGACCTCACACATGCTAGGCAAGTGCTCTACCACCGAGCCACAACCCCAGCCCCTCACTTTTTTTTTTTTTTAACTATGAAAAAGATGCATTGCAGAGTGTTTGGGAAATGGATCTAAGAAGAAAGACATTCACGACACCAACACCTGCATCATAACCACTTATAATCATTTTATATTTTAACATTGCTTTTTTTTTTTTTGGACCAGAGATTGAACTTGGGAGCACTTGGCCACAAGCTCTACCCCCAGTTCTTTTTATATTTTATTCTGAGACAGGGTCTCACTAAGCTGCTGAGGCTGGCCTTGATTTAGCTAACCTGCCTCAGCCTCCAGAGTCGCTGGGATTACAGGTGTGACCACCCTATACTTAGCTYTATTTTTAAACTCCCTGCACCATCTCTTCATAACCCCCACTTTTAGCAGATAGTCCCTGGGCTTTTCGATGCTCTAGCTATGAAGAGCAATAAAGCTCACATCTGATATGTGTGAGACAGCATGCCCTGCCTTCACCCCCTTCCTGGACAGGACTCAAATTGTTTTTTAAGGGCAACAACTCTTTTTTTAGGTGCTGTTTAACCTCTACGTCCCAGAGTCCAATATAAATTCTTTGTCACCTGTGAAATCCTCTTCCTAATTCTCAGTCCTGGACAGATAGATAATAAAAGCGACATGGCAAATGTGATCCATTTTCTAAGAAAAGTAGGGTAGGGAGAATTCCTCCATTTCAGTCTCAGCAAAGGAATTATACACATCAATGCTACTAGAAAGAAATACAGCTCTACAATCCCCGAGGGTCGTGGGTTTGATATACAACTTGAGCTACAACTTTATGCACTTGGAAAACAAACAAACAAAAAAGGATTGGGGCAGAGAGTCAGAGGGTCCTGCAGGAAACCCCCAAAGCCTGATATTTTATAGGGATAAAACCAAGGGGGCAAGAGTTTGACTGTGGGAGCTCCCACCCCAGGCCTGCCCTCCAGTTTCAGGGGTCGGGCTTCCCTGAGCTGTAGTTGACTTGTGGGTGATGGGTTTGGCCTACGCTCCTGGAGAGTTAGGTGTCCCAAGGCCTCAGATCAAAGGAAGTAGAACAGAAGAGCCAGGAGGCTGTGCTAGGGAGCTCGGGAGCCGGGGTTCCAGCCTGCTCTCAGCTCAGCGCTGAGGGGCTCAACCCTGCTGTTCTACGCAGCTTCAAATCCTCACTCTAGACCCAACTCGCTGCACAAATTTTCTGTGCCCCACTTTCCGCATCTGGAAAATGAGAATGATCCTACTTACTTCCAAGCGTTTGTAAAGAGTAAATATTTTAATGTATGAAAAGTTCCTAAGCCATAGTAAATAGAGTCCTGTGATTACTGTCCTCTCTGGGCCTACGTGTCTCCATCTATGCCCCACGAGGCTGCATTAGAAGACTCCAAGGTCCCTTCGAGATTTAAAATTCTTTGTACTTTTCCCCAAGACCCTCCTCATCCCCAGTGAACCCAATTCAAATTCTTCTTTTTTGTTGGTGCAAAAAAAACTTCTCTTTTTGTTTGTGGTGCATTTGAGGCAAGCACTTTACCACTGAGCTACACACCTAGCCCTGCTTCAAATATGAATATGAAAGGGAAAAATATTGTCCTCCCTGCCCGCAGCCCCTCTGCACTGCTTCCAGATGGGGGCTTCTCTCGTTTTTTTCCTGAGCCAGAGACACAAGGGCAACTCTGAGTTTTTAAAAGGGATCTGCTCACATTGCTCAAGGGCTGACACACCTGGGTCTTTCCCTCCCATGACTTCTCCCGGCCCCTCACCCTGACCTACACTCACCTGCCCGCTCCTCATTCCTCCCAGGGAATGAGGGGTCCAGCAAAAGGGTGCTCTCCCAGGTTTGGGGCTGAATCACCTAACACTGCGCGTGGGGMTAACACTGTGCTTAACCTCCACTCCTCCTCTAGCCTCCCCCAGGAGGATGCAAAAATGGAGGCACATGCGGATCCTCAGGCTGCAGGTGGGACCCCCAGGGCACAATCCTCCTGAAGCACTAGGGCCCATTGTAGGTTTTGGCATGGAAGATAAGGAGGCTCTCTGAGGGTTATAATTGAGACGATCCAATTCTTAGACTGGGAGTCAGGATTCTGAGCTCTAATCCCAGCCCTGCCTCTTAGAAACTGATTCCTGGGGCCAATGGCAGCTTCTCTGGGTCCCAGCTACAATCTCAATACAGTGAAGAGCTCCAATTAGGTCCGTGAAAACTCTCTCCCACCACCTTCGTCCAGGATTCTAAAATGCATGACTGGACTCCCTCATCCTAGATTTTTTTAATACATATCTGGATAACTTTAAAAAAAAAAAAATCTTACCTGTGCATTCCCAGGACATGGAAGACAGAGAGCCAGGAGGATGGTAACAGTGAGTATCCTATGGAAGGAGAGAAACTGCATGTAAATCCCAAGATATAAATGGGTCCGAAGGGACTGTGGGTCTCCCACTCCCCTGATGTTATGATGGTGACTTCTCCAAGTGCTCATATGGGGGAGAAGGGACACACTCTGGAGAGGCCAAGGAGGCTTCCAGATACCCTAACCACCCCAAATAGAAGTTGGCCTCCTCCACTTGCTTCGTGTATCAGGATAATAAGTTGGTCACACTGTTATTGCGTGTGAGGTGCTGGAGATGGAACCCAGGGTCTTGTATATGCTAGGCAAGCGCTTTCCTACTGTCCCTAGATCACACTTTCTTAATAGAGTTTTGCTGATGCCCACAGACCACAACGGAAGGAGAGCAAAGTGAGAACGCGAGGCACTTTGAGTTCCACTAAAGAAAGGGGTCACAGAAGTCACCTAATCACAGCTTTGAGCCTTTGGTCCACACACATGAGAATCCCCCTGGTCAACAGATGGCTTGATGACCCAGTCCCCCAGTGCCAGCCCCACAGTGTGAGCTGCAGGAATTGCCACACCAGCAGGCCCCCGCGGAAGAAGGACTGGAGGACAAAGGGGAAGAGCTCAGAAACCACGGGTCAGGTCAATGCTGTCGCCCACAAGCCACAAAAACTTCAGTGCCTACCTGCAATCTGACCCTTCATCACTCCCAAGCTTTGCTTTTTTCTTTCCTTCTTTCTTTCTTTTTTTTTTCTTTTTACAGTGCTGGGGCTTGAACCCAGGGCCTTGCACGGGCTACTGAGCTACATCTCTAGTCCACAAGTTTTTTTCTGATAAAACTGCGATCACCAATGTGGTTTAAAAGTCTGAGCTGGGTGCAGTGGCACATGCCTGTAATCCCAGGTATTCAGGAGGCTGAAGCAGGAGAACCACAAGTTCAAAGGCAACCTCAGCAATTTAGCGAGGCCCTAAGCAACTTAGCAAGTCCCTTCTCAAATTAAAAAATAAAAAGGGTTGGGAATGTTACTCAATGGTTAAATATCCCTGAGTTCAATCCCTAGTACAAACAAACAAACAAACAAAAACCCCCCAAAACTTGTCTGTATCACTTCACATCTATTAAGATGATTATTAGGAAAAAAAACAACTAAAAATAACAAGTGAGAGCAAGAATATAGGGAAAGTGAAACCCTGTGCAGTGTTGGAGAAATGGTGCAGCCACTGTGGAAAAGAGTGTGATAGTTCTACCCCAAATTAAACAAAAACTACCACATTATGCAGCAACTCTACTCCTGGGTACACACGCAAAAGAACTAAAAGCAAGGATTCAACAGACACTTGCACACCGATGCTCACAGCAGCATTACTCACAATAGCCAAAAAGTGGGCACAATTCAAATGTCCATGGCAGATGAATGGCTAAGCAAAATGTAGATAGGTATATGTATGTGTACATACATGTGTACACATGTGAACATTCATGCACACACAAGGGAATATTATTCAGACTTAAAAGGGAAGGAAATTCTGAAACACAATACAACATAGGCAAACCTTGAGGACATTAAGCAAAATATGCCACTCATTAAGAAAAAAAGACAAATACTATACAATTCCACTTACATGAGGTACCTAGAGTTGCCAAATGCATAGAGAAAAGTAGGATGGATGGTAGTTGCCAGGGGCCAGGAGAAGTGGAAAGAGGAAATTATTGCTAATGGGTAGAGTCTCAGCCTGCAAAATGAAAAGAGTTCTGGAGTCTGGCTGCACGGTATAGTGAATGCTCAGAACACTACTGAACAGGCTACTTCAAATGGTTACATGGAATACAGAATCCATGCAAATGCACAGCTTTATTAAGGACTATCATTATTCTGTTCGAATAGCGATTTGTCTGAGCAACTACTGCCTGCAGCAAGCACACTAGGCAAAGGAGCTACAAAACTGTGACCTGGTTGCTCCCCAGGTGAGCTGGATGGGGATCTACAGGAATCCACTGGTAAGAGCACTGATAGAAATATGCACTGGGTGCCATGAAGCCAGGCTGGGAGAGGGGCGGGAAGGTCAGGGAAGACTTCCTTAAGGGACTGATCTCGAAGCCATCTTCTAGGACAGTGGACCTGGGACCTGGCTGGATTTGGTGATCTGTTACTGCCCAAGTGCATCACCACTATGTAATCCCTCCCTTAACAGAACGAGTGCTGGATAGATTACAAAGCTCACCCACATCCTCGACATATGGTTCATGTGAAGCAGCAACTCTGGGTGCTCAGACGGCCAGAGTTAAGGTGACATCCAGAAAGAACAGAGTCCCAATATGGTACTAAATGCAAGCCCACTTCCTTCATCTTGTCCCCAATCCAAAGAATAAAGATCCTGAGCAGCCACAAATTTTTATTTCACCTAAGAGCCTGTGTCAGCCAGGTTCTAGAACACTGGAGACAGTTCTGACCTTATAAAGTACAGAGCCAAATCCTAGGGCTTTTTGATATTTGCAATGGCCAGATTTATATCTGGAAGGAATGAAAGAACAATAACAAATTTATTTTCCAGTCTGTATATTATGAATTTCAATGTTTTCCTGTTTCTTCACATGAAGTTTCCTTTCGGGTGGTTATAAAATCCTGTCTCGTTTATGTTGGAGACAGAACAGGCTGACTGCATGCAGTGAACTTCAAGAGCTAGTGGAAAAGGCGTGCTAACCCCGCCTCTCCCCTACTCCTGCTCTCCATTCCCTTTGGCTGGAGGCAGCACCAGGAAGGTCCAACACCAAAGAGCCACAGCTGGGTCCTGGGGGCCAAATAAGCTCCAGGCTAATGAAGAGGGTTTCCAAAATGAAACAGTACCCAAGCACTGCTGCTCCCACAGCGTCACAAATAGCTGCACCTTGTCATGAAAAAACCCTAGAAAACGCCAAAAAAAAAAAAAAATGAACTAACCACAGTTAATGCTGGAAAGAGAAAAGGAATAAATGCCCAAACTGGTCCCAGGAACTTTCAAAAATCAGGTGGGTCCACCCATTTTGTGCCCCATCCTAAAATATGAGGAAAGCTGTGAGACCAAGGGAATGTCAGGACTGCCTGTCATTGAACTGCTGGTCCCAAGCCAGGATGACATTATCACAGCTTCATTTTCAGCATGCAAACACACACACTAACACACACACATACAAGGTTAATTTATGCAAAACAGCTATGTTTTCAAGAGTTGGCCAGAGAAACACTGTGCAGATGTCATGTAGATAAAGTTCTGCAAGACTTAAGGATTACTTGACTGGAATTGCAATTTCCGCAAAGAATAACAAAACATTTGCTTACATGTATCTCTGTCTGCTGTCCCCACTTTTCATTGGTTCAAAACTTCTGGGTCCCATGCCCTTTGTGGATCCCACACAGACATAGAGCAAATTCAGCCCGCGATGTTCAGCCAGTCGATTTTGCTTGTCCAACAGCCGAGGCAGCAAAGCAATGGCTAGGGAACTAGGAATCGCTCTCCCAAGTTTAAAAGATATATAGGATATTAAAAAAAAAAAAAACTGCGCACCAATTTGCCGCCCTTACAGAAAAGAACGAAGAAATTAAGCACTGAGCTTTCTGCAGACCTCTCTCTCTGAGGCTGACTTCTGAAACTGTGAGAAAGTCCCCACTCCCAAACGAAGGCTTCAAGATGGAAATTACAGAGGCGCAGCTTTTTATAATTAACAATATCATTGCATCACTGGCTRATGCCTTTTCCAATACCCTGACACAGCCTGAATCTCCGCCACAGCCATTTTCCACCCATCAGGTYTTTAGTAAGGTTTCCAGACCCTGGAGAAAGAAAGCCCGGCGCCGAGAACCTTACCTTTTAAATCCTGGCATGTCCAAGATGCGCGGGGAGAAGAGGCAAAGCGGGAGAGAAAGCTCCCAGGCGGGACCCTCGGAGGAGTTCTGCGCGGCGGCTGCGCTGGGCCGGAGGGGCTCGCGGGGATTTTATTCCAGAGGGGCCCAGCGAGTGATGGAGAGGGCAGGGGGACAGCCTGGGTGCTGCGAGCCACTGGAGAGCCCTCGGAGCAGGCACCTGGTTTCGCTTAGCCCTCTTCAGTAATTCAGCATTAAACCAATTGGAGGAGGAATGTTAAAAATGAACACTTCATTTTCTAAGTATGTTAAACAATGCAAATGGGGCCTCAGTCTGGACACAGCTGGTTCAGATTACAGCGCTCACCAACTGGCTAGACTCCTCACAACAATCTTGGGGCGTCTGCCAGGGCCAAGTGCTCGGCGCTGGGAGGAGAGCCCGGTCCCGGCCGCACTCGGCTGCCTGCGAGCACCTCGGCTGGAGGCGATGGGCGGGCAAGTGCAGGGGCGTGGGCCGGGGAGGCCTCGGCTTCCCACCCGGGGCGGGGCGCGCGCGGGAGGGGGTGGCGCGCCCGGCTGGGCTGCGTGGCACCAGGACCCTCGGGGACGCGATCGCGCTGGGACAAGAGTGACTTGCGCTCACGACACTGGCAGTTGCAGGGACGAGAAACGTAGAATTGATGGGGAAACCAGAATCTAKGAAGCCAAGGTTTGGGGCGAAGGGTGGGAGGGGGTGGGGAAGAGGAGGAGGCTGGAATCCCGCGGATGCTCACTTCAGGCTCCGACGGTAACCAGGACACCGTTTTATCCAGGTCCTCGTCCCTGGATTCTTTCTGGCATTTTCTGGCTTTAATTAAAGTGTCCCTTGGCTTGAAAGTGACTTTGACAAGTGGAAAGGTGTTTTGCAAAAGAGGAGTGCGGGAAAGCGGGATGATGAACAACACCCAAGTCCTGTAGTGGAGGTGTCAAACTATTTTTTTCTTCCTTTTTTTTTTTCGAAATTTGGGACCTTTTCATTAAATGAAATTGAACCAAGAACACTCTAGGAAAGACACAAGTGGACTGGTGGTGGTCCAAGTCCTTTTTACTCCTCTCCACTTTCTCCTGGACTCCTCAAAACCCTAACTACAATTCAGCAAGCACACAGCTCCTCTCCATCTACCCCAACTCTGCGCCGCAGGAATCTCCTCTACTTCATTAGAAGTGGGGATCATGGAGGTTTGGTAACTTCCTCGCGGTCACACAGATATTCCTTAATACCACTGGGCCTTCCAAGTCTGCGTATTTAGTTTAGCCCTCTCAAAGGACATTGTATGTGGGAATTAAATGGAATTCTACTGAACAAGAACAGCAGAATATTGATAGTTGTGGAAGTTGAGTGTCTATTTACTCTGTTTTGAAATTTCTAATATTACTTAAGATTTATTGTTCATCTCTCCCACTGTTTATAACAGCAAAAGGTAATAAACCTCTCGGGCTCATTAGTAAGACACCAATAGAGTTAATATAAGGAATTTCCAAAAATGGATAATAAATATAAAGTGCAATCATTTTTTTAAAAAAGCTAGACACATAAGACTACATACTGTCGGATTCCATTAATGTAAGATGTGAAGTCAGGTTGTGGGGGAGGGGGGACGAYGACAAAAGGAGCCTTCCTAATGTTCTAATTATCAGTGTGGGTGCTGCTTATAGAGGGTGTGTAGACTTGGAATTTGTGAAGTCCTATGTGTGTTGACTTATTTATATTTAAAAAAAGACGGAAGAGCCTTCTTATGTGCTAATATTAAAGAATTTCCAATATCTTTTGTGGGTCAAAACTGCAGAAYATTAGTAACTCCACATAGATCAATCTAATACATTAATGTAAAAGTACAAGTCTACCATATATGCAAAAAGTAAATAAAACCATGATATACGGGAAAAGGGAGTTATAGAACTGTATGTAAAGCATGCCACCATTTTCAAAATAAAAATTTATATATATGTAAGTTCTTGCTTATAGGTATACAGAAAAGATATCTCCAGATATCACCTGAAAGGTGCATGAGAAACTGTTGCATGGTTTCTCTCAGTCATCTCAAGTTAGTATAATTATTACCCGGACTAGGTGTCTAAACSACAATCGWATTTCTCACAGTTGTGGAAGCTGAAGTCCAAGATCAGCGTACCAGCATGGTCTGGCTCTGGTGAGGGCCTTCTTCCAGGTTGCAGATGGCCTTCTCTGTGCCTTCACATAGTAAAAAGAGGGAAACTGGAGGGAGGAGAGGTCTTTGATCCCACTCATGAGAGCTGCACCTTCAAAATGTAAGTACCTTCCAAAGGCCCCACCTGCTGATACCATCATATTGGGAGTTAGGATTTCAACAGGTTCATTCTGGAGGAATATAAACATTCAATCTACAGCAGTGTCCTAGGAAGGAAATTGGGTAGAGAGCGGGAGAAGAGATGTGAGAGGCAAATTATCTTCATTGATCATCTTTTGGTATAATTTGAATTTTGTACATGTACATACATTTCCTAGTCAAAATATGAGATTRACTTATTTTACACAGATATTGTGTTTATGTAGAACTATTTGTGGAAGCAGGGAATTTTAAATCACTTSGTACCCCACAGACACTACCAACTTTCCTGTAGGTTTGGGAAATGGAGGAAATCCATATACCTGTTTTCTACATGTGCAAATGGAAGACCCTCAAATCAAAAATGTCTAGGGACCTTTCTTGGACCAGAGATGATTTCCATGTTAAAATTGTAGGGCTAGAATAAATGCATAAATGTAACAGGGGTATATCCATGTACCAATGAAACCCAATTTCCTCACCATAACAGGGCAGGGAGACGACCAAGTGATTTTTTTTTTTTCCAAAAAGRTTTGATATGGGAAGCTGGGTTGGGGCCTTGTAAMATTAGGCATTTAATTATATACTTTATTAATATTAAGTAGAGAGAGAATGAGGGCTGTCATAAAAGACGTTGACCTGAGTCTTGCATTTATCACTTACCAGTTGGGCACTTTGGACAGGTCAGTTCACCCCTCCACTTTGTGGTTTCCTCATTTGCAAGATGGAGATAATGTCTCTAACTCGAAGGATGGTTGTGGGAAAGAAATAAAAGTTAGTTATCCTCATAATGGTTACTGTGTCCAAACTTCCACCCCTACACAACCTCCTCCAAAATATCTTTGCTAAATAGTAACTTAGCCATTTCTAAAGCCAAAAAAATAATAATAATAATCAGTCTCACTATTGAACAGCTCAAATTGTTAGTGCTGTCATGAGTTGAACACAAGTTGGGTTCCCTGGTTTCCTTCCATCGGTCCTAATTCTCCCTTCTGCAGCCATAGGCCAAGCTCTCTTCTGCCTAACAAGCTTCCCATTCATGAACGCAGTTCATGCAATTACAAGAATCCCCCCTTATCCATTAAAAGTTGGCTGCAGTCAACCATAGTACAAAAATATTAAGTGGAAAATTCAAAAAATGATTCAGAAGTTTTAAATTGCATGCTGTTCTGAATAGTATGATGAAATCCTGCCCTGTCCCACTCCATCTGCTCAATTTGTGAAACATCCCTTTGTCCTGCTGGGTGACTCAGTTTTTCACCACTTGACAAAATACCTGAGAAAATGACCTAAAGGAAGAATGGTTGTTTTGGCACAGGGTTTCAGTTCACGTTCAGTTAACTCCATTGTTTCTGAGCCTGGTGAGACAGAATACCAGGGCAGAGGGAATGGGGACGCAGAGCTCTTACCTCCTGGTAGACGGAAAGGAGAGAGAAAGAGAAATTCAAGGGACAAGACACAGTCCCCAAGGACCCCCTCCTTTCAACTCCTACAGTCCCCCCCCCCAATAGTCCATTCAGCTACGAATCCATCAATGGATTAAGTTATAGCCCTTGTGATCTGATCAGTTCCCAAAAGCCCCATCTCTGAACATTGCTTTATTGGGATCCCTACTTTGCAACCAAAAATTTTAAAAACACCTGGAAAAGGAAGTGGTGATCTCCAGGAGCCAGCAAGGGTCATTCAGCAGGTCCTGCCAAAGGACTCTCTCTCTCTTTTTCTTTTCAAAAAGAGCCTTCAACACATGACCCTTCAGAGAATGTTCCAGATCCAAACCATAACACCAGCACACCTAGCCACGTGTATACACCACCTGCCCCTTGGTCACAGAGCCACCTTGGTTGTCAGAGTCACTGTCATAGTATTACGAGTCCTTGTGGGAAAGTAGCTTTATTTTACTTCAAATGGCTCCAAAGCACAAGAATAGTGACAATGTCAATTTTATTATGGTATATTGTTATAAACGTTCTATTTATTATTTATTGTTGTTGATCTCTTAATGTGTCTAACGCATAGATTAAACCCTATCATAGGTAGGTATAGGAAAGAGCATTGTTTATCTACAGGGTTCGGTACTGCCTGTGGATCCAGGCATCCGTGGGGTCTTAGGACGTATCCCCTATGGATAAGTRAGGGCTACTGTATTCTATTCTCCAGGTCCTGCAGTGTCCTATGACCCCTTTGGCAGGTGCATCGGCCTCATGGTTCCCAGGGAGCCATGTGGAGTACACAGGCTACTAGCACCACCTCCTCCATCCTGTTGGGCTGTTAATTCTTTTTAGCCAAGAACAGAGTTTTACATGTATCCTTACTGGAGTTTTATCCATTGTTCAAGCCCTCTTTCATCATAAGTTCTATCATCTAATGTTTCACGTGTCACTTCCAGCTTTGACCACCACAGATCTGCCAAATGTGACTTGGGCTTTCTGAGTTATGCACAACACTGTTTCCAAGACAGGTGCAGGAGTGGAGCGGTTCATCCAGGTTGGCACTGAGCTCTTCTCTTTCCTTAACGGTTTGGGCCACTGCTGATTGTCCAGGTTTGGGTGCCACCAACCTCTCTCACAAAACAGGCAGTCCCTCTGCTAGATTGTTACAAGGGCTGCCATGAGTTGAACCGTGTGACCTGCCCAAACGGGTCCTAATCCTCCTCTGTGCAGCCACAGGCCCCACCCTCTTTTACCTAACAAGCTCCCTGTCCCTGAATGGTTCCCCTTGTGCAAAAGAACTTTGTGACAGACTTTGTCCCATGTCCTGCAAGCATCAAAACACATGCTACCCATCACATCTCGTGATCTAGTAGGCCTCTTTTTGAAAAGAAAAGGAGGGGGGTCCTTTGGCAGGACCTGCTGAATGAACTTTGCTGGCTCCTGGAGATCACTTCCTTTTCTGTGGGTTTTTTTTTTTTGGCGGGGGGGGGGGTTGCAAATAGGGATCCCAATATCTGCCCTGCCTCCCTCCAACAGAATCAAATGGATAAATGGATGTCACAAAATGTAAAAAGTTGCATAAATGTAACAGGGGTATCATCCACGTACCAATGAAGCCCAATTTCCTCACCATGCCAGGGCAGGGTGA